TCAGAACTGTTTTGAGAAGGTGCTTAAGTTTTGAGCCATGTATAATTACTCTAAATTGGGCTACTACTACTATTACTATCTTGTACCCTGCAATAATCATTTGCTCAAACTCACTTTTATGAGATGAATGGGGAAAAAAAAGAAAATCGGACAAACGTATCGGCCAAAAAAATCGGCATCATATATCGCCATCGGCTGCCATGATTTCTAAATATCGACATCGGCCAGTGAAAAACTCATATCGGTCGACCTCCACTACTCACCTATGTGTGTCCATTTTTATGGCCTCATAAATTTGTATTTCATCAATATATTTGGCTAAATTGGATAGTTTCCCTTCACATGTTGCCTTAACCACAAATGTGTCTAATGACGTGCTAATGAGACACCAAAAAACTGGTTTAAATGGTTTCTTAAGACAATGATTGGTTAAATATTTGGAAGAAGGCAACCAAACAACATTCCATTGTTTGAATATCCAATTTGATAGGTTGTTTTGTAACGAGAGGAGCCTTTATACTGGCAGCCAACTTAAATATTGTGAAGTAGCTGAAATGCACACGAGTTACCACCTATGAAAGAAAAATTATTATTTATTTATCATGTACATCTAAATTGTGCTCATTGCTGGGTCTACCGTATCATACCACGGACACACTCTGTCTTCTTTCTTACAAATGCAAATGCCGTCTCAATTATCAACTCTAGTTAAAATAACATCAGAAGACTATTGTTGCAGTCTTTGTCTTGTTGCCATACAACTTGTTTTGTCCATCATAATGACATTTTTATTTTAAGTGGAAGCTTTAAGATTACATACAGTAAAATAGTGAGATATTGATGTAGCCATATGGATCACATTTGAATTCTGAATTGTCAGAAAGTGTCTCACTTTACCTGTATTATCTCAATTGTTTCTGCTTGGAAGCAAGTCTTGTTTTCAGTCTGAAGTGGTTTGAAAAGATTTGTGGAGAGTGCTTCAGAAATGAACGAGAAAGAATGACCCCTCCATCATTACATGACTGCTAATCAGCAGAGGAAATTCCTACAAACAAAACTCTTCTGTTACAGGAAAAAAAACGACATTAGGCCACTTGACATTGACGTTCTAATGCTCTTTTCCCCATTTATTTATATCTTCTGAGCGAAATATCATCCGAAATGATTCCAACTGAAACTCTGTGTTTGATTGAAATGTGCACCCAATTTAAGATAAGGTCTAGCATAGGACTGGCGTCTTGTAGATATGAAGACTGCGAGTCTGGAGGCAGTATTAAATCCATAAATAACACAACATACTCTTCCTCCAGAAAAAAGAAAAAAAAATGTCTTTCTTTCTTGGCTTTTTTTTGGTACTTCAAGCTACACAACATCAGTTCCAACTGGCAGCATGCCTGAAACATTGCCTCTCTTCCTTATAAAAAAGTATTTGAAGTTTTGTGTCAAAGAGCGCTGAATGAGAACAGAGTAAGGTGATGGGATTTGTGATGGATGAGCGGCTGTTAGATTGCAGGAAGTGCTTATAAGCAAAATGTGTGACCTTGTGTGACTTACGCTACAATTAAGATAAAAAGTTGGTCAGTTCGTACTTGTTTTTTTAGCCTATACACAAAGTCTCACATAAAGCCAAAGAACAAAGTAGATTACCATCTTTTAATCTTTAATCACCCGTGTCTGCGAGGTAGAGATATTGATTTATTTCTAAATATTGACATTGTGGTTTAGCTAGCAGGTTAGTGAGGTTTTTTCACAACAAACACCCGGTGGCATTTTCCACCCCCATTTCTCTGCATTTCTTTTAATACATCAGAGCGTATGAATGAATGTGACAGTGGCAAGTCAGCAAAGGTACGGTTGTAGTAATTTAAGAGGCTGTTCCACTTTTGTAATTACATTAACGAGGCATCTGATGTGCAACGGCAGGCGTAATGGGATTTTAAATACGTATTGATCAACACGTCACAGCGGGCTTTCTTCTTCCTATCACACACGGTCATCTGTGACAATGACACAAGTGAGTGATAGTATCTGAGGTGCATTTCTTGGCAAAGCAGAAACGATTGTAAGCAGCTAGCACAGCATTTTTCTAGATTATAGCAAAAGCTAAACATGCTAAATGGAACAAGCTGCCTGGATGATTTCACTCGCAACAGAAATAAGAGCTAATGCGCAAAGACCTTTCAGGAAGAGAACACATTTGACACTTCTGCCACAACATTGCTCATTTAAACAGGTGCAGGAGGTTACAATTCAGAGGATTTACTATAAATACCCAAGCTGTTGGTATTCTTTATGCCGCCACGTCAATTAGACTTAAAGAATTCTAATTTGGAGTCAGTGTAGTCCCACCTGTGAACCGGGCTTTACAGTGCCTACAGCAACAATTCAGCTTCACAGGCTCTCTCCGTGTGAAATGACAGCAATTAGACCCTCCGGCCTTCTGCGCACCACCCGTATTACCGCACGTCTTTTATCCTCCCCAAAGCAACTTAGCATAAGAATGACGGTAATACGGCTGCAAAGAGCAGACAAGCTCAATCTCACAGACGCACACTTCATCTGTGCTGTTCGGCACTTATTTTAATAAGATATTTGCACTTGTCTTCGATCCGGCTAATGTCAAGTAAAAATGGGTTTATGCATTCCCAGCGGGAAGCACACATATAAACATAAAAAAAGTCTATGTGACGGCTTAGAGTTCATTCATGCTGAAAGCAAGGATACTGCTCAAAGGACGCCTGATCTACAAAGGTCTCTAAACATATGACCTAGTATCATATTAAAGGGATATGGATTACAAACACAGAGAAACTTAGTTAAACTACCGGTAAAAGAAGAGGATACATGCAGTTACGTCTACCAGATCTGGCCTTTAAAAATTAGTTTTAGTGATGAGACTTACTGTATATATTTTTGACTTGCATAAAACCAGTTAAGTACAGTTTAGTTTACCTGAGAATTTATATTTGACAATGTAACTGTAACAAATGGCCTTAATCAAAGAAATGAATAGTTATTTAACATTAGGTTTTGTTCTTAAATTTAAATTATCAAGCTTTTTCCTTTTAGTTTTATTAACTAAATTTCTCTTCAGGCTGCTGTAGGAACTTTGCATGGACTGTTTTTGTAACATTCCAAATCTTGTGGGGCTCTTTGTGAAAACCAGCCCAAACTTTCATTATGAATGCTAAGACGACAAGCATGTGAAATCGCAGGGTGATAGATGCGCTTTTCCTATTTTTCACTTAAGAACTTTATCTCACGTTCAAACACTCCTTTAGGAGAAACAGAATAGCTAATACTAAAACCTTTTTTCATAACTTCAGTTATCATATTCGGTCATAGTTTAATTAAAATTTAAAACTGCAACTGAAACGGTTTACTCTGTTATTTAGTTCTGGCACTCTTTGACTGCCTTCTCACCATTTAACATGCACATGAAAGTAATAAGAATAGAGATTTCTTATGTATATTTTTATTGACTTGTGATAAATTTCAGACATGCTGGTAATTTATATTCTCAGCCGTGCAGAGCTCAACTGAACATCCCAATATTAGGAATGAGATGAAACAGAAGTTTTCCTGAATCTCTGATTATATTATGTGCTGCCTTGTAATTAATTAGGCTCCAGTTATTAGTAAATTTGTGTTGTAATTGTTTAAATTTAATTGCAGGACTTCACTGAAGCACGTAACGAAATGTGTGCAATTAGGAAGATGCTATGAGAAGAGTAAACCGAATATAAATGAACAAGAAATGCAAATTTCACTCCATTTCCTTTCTCTATAACAACTGTGCTCCTCACAAACAAACATATATCCACAGAAAAATAACACAATGCAAAATTCATTTGATACTGCCAGCGTGACCCTGCTGGCAAGGTCAGCCGCCACACGCACCATTTCATTCAATTTTACAGACAGATGAAAACCAATTTTCTATGAGAAAATGGAATGAGAGAAAATATAAATGCCTCTGAAAATTTATTCAAATGTGCTAAGAGAAGCCTGAAGCCCCCACATCTTCTGTGGGCATTAGCCCATTCAGGATAGTGTGATGGCCTGGGTGTCAATGCCTTACAGAGCACAATCAAAGAGACCCGCGAAAGACAGAAAGCACACCTACCTGCTTCGCCTATCACAGACCCCTCACATTTCAAACCAAGGTGAATAACCCCGTCAGTCTATGTGTGTTTAAAGTTCAGTGGATATACCAGCATGCAGTGGTCTGTGAGCCCAGAGCAGGATGTGAGTGCTTGCAGTTGTGATAGTGCCAGGTGCCGTCCACTTACCTTAGCTGGATCTCACCGGGCTCTTCAAAAATTGTAATTTAATATCAAAGAGCAGTAAAGTGCTACTAAATTAATATGCATTGGTGCGTACAGGCTGTATGGAATGCTCTAAAAGAGATAACTGCCTGCAGAATATGAAAATCCGAATATCTTGAAGTGCTCTTACCTGATATTTGTGTGATGATCTGACAACACATTTGTATTTATATTGAATGCTTTTAAATATGCCTTCGTCAACTCTTTTGTGTGGTCAATATTTTATGCAATTTTTTTTTAAATAATTGAGATAAACCTCTCTAATTACTGTTTTTTTATTTTTTTTTGTAATACTGTAAATTATGGCAAATGGTTAATCGCGTTTAGGAATTAATAAATGTTATGTTGCCAAAAATAACGCATCTAAATTTTCTGTGCATTGATTTTCTATACAACTAAACAACAGTAGCAGACTAATTCAAATGTGCAATTTTTCTTCCTAACCCTACGTTACATTTGTTGACGCATCGCACAATGACGCATTTCCATGACATCTCACCTACCTTTCAGCCCCTCGTCATATTTGTAGGGAGTGACACAGAAAAATCAGTGTGACTTCAGTATCACAAACACACAAATAAACAGATGCATGTGTAAAGCCACAGGTACAGGAATATACATGGAGACAAGTTAAACTACATCATTACATAGTATGAAAGAAGCATTATATACCTTTTCGTTTGCCTATGGTATTGATATAATGGTTCCATGAAGAGAAAGTCCAGAGATATACAGGAAAATACAAAGGAGAGGAAAGAGGCAACAGTCAGAATCATGACCGCGTGTTAGATTCAGAGACAGAAAAATGAAAGGTTACGTTCAGAAGAAACTCCATGCATTGCGGACAAAAAGAGAAGAGGGCAGGCAAGAGGAGATGGAAGCTTCCTATCGTGATACATGCCAGAACATGACGATGAGAGAGATGAGGGAGAATGCATGAATATCGAACAGATGGCTAATGCTTTCCAGTTTCGAAGCCCGAGAATACAGACTAGCACATTTACAAAGAGTGAACAAACCCCTGAGAGAAGTCCCTGTAACTCACATCATCCACTGAGTTGAAAGTATTTTTCCCCCTCTATATGAAAATGAAGTTGGCAAGCAGCAATGGAATAGCGGGGCTGTTGAGAGAATGGCGGAGAGAAAAACGAAAGAGCAAAAGAAGCGGCGAGATGGGTTGAAGGGAAGCTAGAGCAAAATGACAGAGAGAGAGAGAGAGAGAAGGAGAGACAGAGGAGAGGGTGGGGAAAAAATGGAAAAGACCAAACCATCCATTGATTCAGCGCCAAGCCAGAAAGAAAGCAGCCCCAGTAAATCCATACCAGCAGTGAAGGGAGATGAGGAGGATTCAGCACAAGGCAGTGAGAGAGAGAGGCAGAGAGATGGAGGAGGGAGTGGCTGATGGAGGCAAAAAGGTGAGTGAGAAATTAAACCCATACCTTGGTCGCCCATCATCAGGTGCGCAAGACCTTAAGGGAAGACAAGAGCACAGTCAGCACAGAGAACGGGATCATGGGAAGGTTTTCTGTCACATTGACATGCGGGCATCGTCTGAACAGAGGATGCCCGCGGTGTGGGGTGGGGGAGGGGGTTGGGGTCAAGAGGTGAGGGAGAGAGTGGGCATGAGGGAACATTCAAAAAGCATTTCCTCAACCCAGCGGTTGCAATGCTTTATCGGTCACACTCGAAAGAGACAAACCTAGATTAGAAAAGAAAAAAAAATATCACTTCGCTGTCGCCATACATCAAACATGTCGTCCGCCTGGTCAACCTTCCACAGGAAGAAGATGACACATACAGAGACTGGATCTTAACAAAATTAAGTTAGGTTGCACACAAAAATGTGTCAATGCAATAACAAAATACCTACAGGTTACATTGGGATAAATCAGTTACCCGTCTTTCATAGGATGTCTGTTTAAGTTCCTGTGAGCCACAGCCAAAAATATATAGTAATACCTCCAAAAGAATGAATCGAGAACGATAACTATAAACTGCATTTGGAATTGTTAGTAAGAAATAGAAGATTTTGTCATTTGTCTATGGAACTTACCTGTCAGACTGTCCAGATTTTCCATTATAGTGAACACTTCATGTGTATGTATGTCAGATTCCATGAAATGTATTCACTATATGAAGTTTTAGAAGTTTATAATGGGAGTTACAGTAGTTTGTCTGTATCTTTAGATGGAATTTAAACAGGTTGGCGTCCATTTCGCTCCAGCCTCTGGTTTCTGCTTGGCAGAGCACTCCAATTTGAGTGAAGCATGTGTTTACTGACAACCTCTAATTAAGGAAGTGCTCTCGATTATAAAGCTGAATGAAGTTGCATACCTTTTACCTGTGTTGTGCACCAGTTCCACTTACTGTTTGTGTACCGTATTCAAATAAAATAGGAAATATAGAATATTTCTAAAAGAACAGGTTGAAATATGAAGACAGAGAGAAGTACATGAGTAGGGACAGGGGTCGGATGAAAAGAAAATAGGAAAGAAAAAAATGTCTACCCACCTCCTACATAGGCCTCTTCTGGAGGGGCAGCCGAGGCGTGAAGAGAGAGCAGGAGACATTGATTAAGAAGCATGCAGACTGGAAGGTGGCCCAGCCTTGAGGATTACCGTGGTTATCATGCGTCTTATCATCCTGTGCCCAGGACAAGCATTCATTACCATGGAAAATGTGGAGACTAGAGGGTTTATTTGACTTTAAGTGTCTTCTGTCCTCGTCAAGATCTAATCTCATTGAGTCTATAGTACTCTGAAAGAGCGTTGTTCCATGGTGAGATGATGATAACACATTATTAAGCCATTCAAAAGCTGATAAAACACATGGTGAAATTTACTCTTCACAGTATATCAATGAACATGCGCAAACATGCAAATCGTAATTAAAAGTAAACGGAAAGACGGAGAATAATGGTGGGACCCCTTACAGCTACGATTTTACTTCAAAAATAAATATGCTGTTTTCCCTCAGGATTTAATAAAATTTCCAGTTTTTTGATGGGCTTTGAAAGACAATTTGTATCTTTTGAATTCAAATGTATCATTTTGAATGGCGTTCATGGTTGCGTGTGAGGGGAATTTACACGGGGCTAGATGTGAAGCATGCACGTGTTCGGAAATAAAAATGTCGGTAGATGATGCAATATGAACCTACTAAGAGAAAACAACATCATTCAGTCAGGTCAGTAATAAAGAAATGTACAATACCTGAATATGCATATGCATGTCATGTTATTACCCCGTTTACATTGAAATTTACATTTATTTAACTTCAAATGACCTTTTCTGTTCTAAAACAAAAAGGGTACATTACCTTCATTCATGCATTCAATCAACACACCTTTTACTTCTGGTGACACTTTCAGTCTCTGGATCAACTCACCCAAGACTCCCTAAAAATGGACTTGGCTATCTTAAAGTTAAAGCATCCAATCCTACCTCCATGTTTTGCATCTTGAGGAGGAGAATAATGACCCGGGACTTACCGCAGCCGGTTCCTCCACCCGACCAAACACAAATTGCATGCACCACTACTGCCACGAAAACAAAAATGCTGATGAATGTATGAATAAACAAACTAAAAGGAGAAAAAAATAAATAAATAAAAGAGAAAAGCGTGCCATGCCAGAAAATATGACAAAGAAATATTTTGCTGTTAGTGTTGCAGTGATAAATGACAGGTGATTTTCTATCCTCTCTTATCAGCTTATGAAGAGACTGACAAACCCTACTTGCTTTGACAAATGTGCAAACTCATCCCGCTGACAAAAAATAGCTCGGAAGGATAAAAATAATGCTACAAAACAGTTTAATTAGCTTAAACCATCACAAAACACTAACTAGGCATCTGCACTGACTCTACAGCAGTTTAAAGAACCCACTTTATTGAATTTGTGCTTCAACCCATCTAAGAAATGTAGACATACACTATTTGTGTGTGTGGAAGCAGCAGCCATTTTGGAAGAACACCACACACACACACATACGCACAGCCTGGTCTTCTCCGAGGCCGGCTGACTGAACAGCGGTTGTATTTACATTTCACTGACTGACAGATCAGGATCATGTAGCCTCTCCTTAGCACTGCAGAGCTCACACGGGGCCAGCGACATGCAGGCTTTCATCGAGCTGACAGCTTCTTTTAAGTGCTGGCCTTGCATACTGCCCCGAATTTGGCAGAGAATAAGAGATAGAAATTGAGGATGACCTACACGCACACACGCTCGCTCTTACTCGACACGGGCCGGCACAGGCAGGGGGCAAACACGATGTGACGCCCGCACTCATGCAGCCCTTTACAAACAGGACTGCAGTTCCAGATGCTCGTTTAAAGCAGTTTTCAGTAAGTCAGAGCATGTTACTCTCAAACGCACACACGTGAAACTCGCCCAAAGGGATCGTATGACGAGCGTACGCTCCGCATAGCGCAGCGGCAAAGTCACTAAAGATGTGGCTGTCAACAACTGGCTGTGGCTGATAATGACTGTCCGGTTGGAATGGAGTGAATGTGCGGTACAGGTTCCTCTGTATTTGATACCTAAAGAAGCATCCAATTCACATTTGACTAAATATTAGACAGTCAAGCAGAAACCACTAGTAAATATACCCAAAACAAGAGTACTTATTGTAAAAGCTTCTAAATATAGCGCTACGTCATTGATGTATTGTCATTGCGCCAGTGATGGGGAGTTTAATCCTCTTCACCAAATCTAGTTTAACATTTCCCCCACAGGGAGCAATGTGCAGCATGTTCCATATTGCAGTCATCTATAGTACAGAGAGATTAGTGAGCTTAGTCCATCTGGAAAGGGTTCATCCGACACTGATAGGGGAATTCTCAATATACAGTGTATTTGACACGGGCTCCCCCTCCATTCGAGATTATCAAGCGATGTTGCCGGATCAAGGAAGGTAAAAGTCGATTGCAAGACACGGGGAGGGTCAATAGATATTATAATAGTATATAATAATCAAGAGATTTTATACTGGCGCGCCTAATGCATTTTCTGTTTTTGACCTACATTGTTAGAATTCACTTAATTTATTTAGGTATTGTAATGTGCAGATTACAAAAATGTCTTTTGGCTTAAAGGGACAGCTTACCCAAAATAAAAATTATGTCATTACTTACTCAAACCCGTATTACTATTTTGCTCTATGGAGCACAAAATCAGTTTTGTCCATAAAGTGAGTCGATGGGGTTCAATAATCCCATAAGAGATTTTTATACTGGTGAGCCTTATTTAATTAATCTATTTCTTGTTTTTGATCTGGATTATTAGTATTTGCTTAATTTATGTATGTACTGTAATGTACAGATTTCAAGAATGTCTTAAAGGGACAGTTCACCTAAAATAAAAACTCTGTTATTATTTAATCAAACCTATATGATTTTTTTGGTTCTGTGGAACACAAAATATGTTTTGTCCATACAACAAAAGTCAACGGGTCCATTAGTCAAGTGATTTTATACTGAAGTGGCCTAGTGAATTAATCAATTTCCAGTTTTTGGCCTATTTTGTTAGTATTTGCTTATTTTATATACTGTAGGTATTGTAACGTACAGATGATATAAATGTCTGTTGACTTAAAGAGACAGTTAACCTAAAATAAAAATTCGGTCATCATTTACTCAAACCTGTATGACTGTTTTTTTGGAACATAAAATACGTTTTTGTCCATACTGTGAAAATCAACAAGGTCCAAATGTTTTTGGCCTCTATTGATTTTCATTAAATGGAACAAAACGGTTTTAAAAAATGTGCGTGTTTCACAGAAGAATGAAAGTCGTACAGGTTTGGAATGACATAAGGACAAGTAAATGGCAATTATTGTGATTTTATTTTTATTTTTTTTGCTGAACTATCCTTTTAATATCTATCTTTTGTCAACTTCAAAACAGGCCCCTGGTGACATGATTAAATGAGTCACTAAAATTAATATGCTGATGTATCTAATTAAAGCAGGCCCTTTATTTCGTTAGCAAGAGGTTAATGGGCGTACACTGCACTACACCACCCTACTTAATTTGCATAGGTCCAATAGCAGAGGTAAAAAATGCATTTACAACATGACTGCATCATTAAATGACAGCGAACAGCCAGGGACCGACCCTTACAACGTTAGCTCCACCACAAAAGATAAGAGATGAGGTGAAACAATCTAATCGCTGTTGTAAACAAGCCCTCCAACACAATCCAATTCTCCAACCAAAGTCTCCTAGCATACGAAACCGCATGGACGTCAATTGCAGATCCCTTACAGCCATCTTTAACCAGGGAGACGGAGCACATTATACAGTTAATAGAGCATAAAGATAAGGTATCAATGGCTGCAAGCTGATACAGAGCAGACCCTTTGGCTTTCTAATTCAGACTTGTAAGAGCATTAACCATAATAACACAAAATAAGGCCCTTTCTCTAACCCCAGCAGGGCAAAAATATCTCATTACCCGTAGCACTGTTATTCTTTGCGGTGCGGACTGCCTCTCCCGCTGAGAACCCCACACCTGCTTTGCTAAAGAAGGTTATTACCACAACTGCCTGTCGAGAGAATGACGGAGTGGACGTGCGGAGAGTAAGGACATATTTAATCCACATACCACCCTTTCCTGCCTGAGATCTGCAAACACGTACACATGCTCTCACGGTACTGCAAATTTTTCCATGACGACGGAGATAACGCGAGCAGCACATATATATATCTAAATGAAAAAGTTAGCCATTCATCAATGAGCCATTTAATATGCAGCTATCCCTTTTTTATCCATGTAAAATATGAGTCTGGGTATTTTACTGGCAACGGCGGTCGGTGGGCAGTTGACAGATCACCTTGGTCATGAAGCTGACAACACACAAAATGACAAAAAGTGGCCTGCTTTCCCCTCAGCAGGAGCTTCGTGGGCCAGATTTGCATTAATAACCGAAGCAAGGACAGATTTAGGCTAAGAGGAGTTTAAAATGATGCTGTTGTTTTAATGAACAGCATGTTGGCTCTATGACTATTTCATTTGAGGAATTAAGCCTTCATAATGGCTGTCCTGTCCTGCATAGTGCCATTTGGAGATTTGTCATTGCGCTAATAACAAAAACAGCCGAAGACGTAACGAAAGGTCATCTGCACATTTCAGACAGAAAAAGGAGGGATCGTACATTCTTAAAAATAAAGGTTCTTAATTGGAATCTATGGTTCCATAAACAACCTTTAATCATTACATTGCACAAAAGGTTCTTAATAGTGCAAAAATGTTCTTTAGATTATTTAAATATTCTTCGCACCAAATTTCACCAAAAACAGACCAATAAAAACATCAAGTCAGTCTAAAGTGAAAAAAAGAAAGCAGGCAGCTCTAACGCCTAACACCGCTAGCCTCAAGATCCTCCAATGTTAAATAAATAACGCTAATGATTCAGAGCGACACGTCCCGTGGCCTCCACCATCTCCACATATCCTTATGTGTCATCCAAAAGCACATGACGGAGGCCACTCAAAGCTGCGTGGGCAGGTCTGTTCTGACTCACCCGGCAAAGATGCGCATTTCTACCAGCACACGGGCTGGAGAGCGGCACGTCTCGCTTTTAAGCAAGCTGCTCAGCATCTGCGGGCCCTGCCCTTTTGTCATAATCTCATCAAATCCACTGGACGATGCATTTCGCTGAGAGCCCAGCGAACACCGTACCACGAAACGACTGCTGTTCTAGTTTGAACATTTGTCAGTGAAACGTACTGTCTCTCTGTTGTGCTTTAGGAGGGCAAAATTTACTCAGTGGGTATGTAGTTTCCTTGGCAACATGGTGCCTCTTTGGCTTACGGCCTAAGCCAGACAATATCCATCAACATCAAGATCAGTCCACAGAGACGGTTGTAAAAATGAAGAAAAAGATGGAAAGAACATAAAAACAGTGAAATCGGACACCAAGGGAGTAAGTCAAACTAGGAAACCAACCAGAACATACATATTCAAAAGGGAACAGGCTTTATATGAAAATCTGAATCGTTGTAATATGGGCACAACCATCCATTTTCAAAAGATAGAAGCAGAGACCCCCTATTTAGTTACATCATCAATCGTTCTAATCGCTTCTGTAATTAAAATAACTCCGTAAGTGCAGTAGTGGAGGTTTACTTGTAAAGCTGGATTAATAAATGCTTTGTGATGGTTGCTGAATGCTGTATTGAGTATGTCATTATTTTTCCTGTGATGCTGAAATTGCAACTTTGGCCAAGTCATTACAGTGACGCTATGAAACATCTGGCTAATTACGTAATTAGAGCAACCAACCCCTTAAATTCGGAGGGAGAATAATATTCAAATCTTCATACTCCAATCATGGGCTTGTGTGCATGTATTCAACTCATCATTTTCAGACTTAATTGTAATGCCAGTGCAGTGTCAAGAGTATATTAAGTTAATTTAGCATAAAAAAGAGAGCGAGAAGCCTCTGCTGACGTCATGTTATCAAAAACACAGGCTTTCGTGGATGCTCCGGAATTGACACAGATGGCACTAAAGCCTATTTAAATGATCTCCTTCAGATCAACGGCTTTCTCTGACTGAAATCAGAGGTAATCTAATCATGTAATGTACTAGGCCTGTAGTGGAGGCCGGGAACAGACATGATGTAGCATGCACTGCCTCTGAGGAACTAGTGCAATGTTAAAATCGAAAAAAGAAGTGAAAGGGCTGTGTTTGAAAAGACATTTCAACACCTCAACAACGGAGACGATGAATCCAGTCCTCTTACCTTCACTGCAGTCTTTTCCCTGGAATCCCGTTTCGGAGCAGTCACAAGTGGGCTCGTCGTTGACGATGCTGCAGACTCCTCCGTTCAGGCAAATGTGGTCGTCTTCACAAAAGTCACTGTTGATTCCCTCGCTACCGATAAGCGGCGGCTCGGAACTGTTCACCCTCAGATTGGTTATCCATCCTTTGTAGGGGACCTGATCTGTGATGGCTGAAGATGTGAGGCGTAATGCTACAGATCGCAGTTCAGGAGGTATCCCTCCTAAGAATAAATGGCTGAAGACCGTCATGTCCCTCCTTTTTGACTTAACCTCCACCCACTTGATCTCTTCGTCCACAACTAACGTAGTGTTTTTGAAATTCCTGCGCAAGGTCACGGCATGCCAGCGGCTGTCGTTGACGGCGGTATCGGAGAGCACCGTCGCCGGCTCGGCGCAGAAGATGGAGAACCGCAAACTGAGTCTGCCGTTGTGGATGAGCAGTTCCAAGAAGTCACAGAATCCCTCGTCGTCAAAGTACACTAAAAGTCCATGAGCGCTTTTGGTCTTCATGTTGAAACTCATTTCGCTTTCACAGCAGGCGTTCCACATAGGAAACCTTGCCCACTGGCCTTCTGCGCCGGTGAACTCCATGCTGGCCCCCATGTCGACAAGGCAACAAACCAGCAAGCCTATCCAGATTAGATGTGCGCCGTTCCGCATTGAGAAGCTCATTGTGAATAGTAAAGGAAGTTAGAACTACCAATAGAACTAATCGAAAACTAAAATGAGTCGGCTCTCTTAGTGATGTGCTCCTAAAGTGTAACAGAGCTCTCTATGACATACAGGACTGCTATGCATTTGGGGTAATTTACTCATTATTCACTGAGAGAGGGAGAGGGCCTGCGTTACGGCCGACTCTTTTTCAAAATCTAAATACACAAATCGGAACAATAAAGGGAGTCGCTAAGGCCCGAATACTGGTCTACGAAAAAAACAATAAGGCTACTGTTTAGCTTAAAAAACCTTCAGTGGGATCCAGGTGTGCTACAGTGGGGCCAAGTCATCAAAGTATCTATAAATTGCAGCCATGTGTAGTGCTGTACAGCAGAGAGTTCATTAGGGGTATATAGGGTCATTAATGTCAGTGTCATTTAAGTCTAGTTAAAAGTCATTGTGTAGGCCTAAAGTCAGCACTAATCAAAAGTAGACAAAAAGTGCGCTTTGCGGTGTTAGCGTGCAGGCCCGAATAGGGCCCTCAGTGTTCACAAACCTTCAATTCACATCCGTTTTGACATATTGATCCATAATCTGAAAAGAATGAAAAAGAATATCTTAATTTCTTCATAGGAAAAGAAAGAGAAGATGGCCTCTTTTAAAAAGATAGATACTGTAGCATACACACAATACAATCATTCACACACAAAACCACAATTTCATAGTGATATTGATATTGAAACCACCAATTTCACGCTGATATTTATTGCATTAATCTTCAATTACAGAAGTACTTTTTATTTGCTTTTCTCCGTTTTTCTTTTCTCACTATAATTCTCAATGATTAGAATTCATGGCTTATGAACCAGAAAGCTCCAGAGCATTTCATCATGTGGCTGCTGTTTTTTCCCCCTCAGTATCAAATACTCTGATTTAATGATCAGAAAAGGCAAAAATAAATCTATACTTTTCAGATGTATTTACAGTTAAATCAGAGTAGCTTGAACTAAAATAAAATGGTATAAAATGGTATCTAATTGAAAATTAACCCTTTTGTTTTCATTTTCAAGAGATTCTCTCAAGACATTTACTCTTTAGTACCATGAAATAAAGCAATATATATATATATATATATATATATATATATATAT